TTTACCTAGAGTGTTGATTGTGGAGCCAAGTAAACTAAAATTGTTAACTATCTCAATGTCTTCACCATCCATACTGATGCTGCCAATTGGCCCAGTGGTGAGAATCTTTGTTTTCTTGATATTGAGCTTCAATCCATAGTGAAGACTGCAGTCTTTGACCTTTTGCAGCAAGTGCTTCAGATCCTCTCCAGTTTCAGCAAGCAGGGTTGTGTCATCTGCATAATGCAGGTTGTTAATGATTCTTCCACCAATCCTGATGCCACATTCCTCCTCATACAACCTGGCGTTTCGGATGATCTGTTCTGCATACAGATTGAAACGGTATGGAGACAGAATACATCCCTGATGGACCTCCTTCATGATTTTGAACCATGTAATGTCTCCTTGCTCTGTTCTGACGACTGCCTCTTGGTCCAAGTATAGGTTTTGCATTAGCACAATCAAATGTTCTAGGATTTCCATTCTTCAGAGTCAGCCACGGCTTGTTGTGATCCACACAGTCAGAAGCCTTTGCATAGTCAATGAAGCACAGATAGAGATTCTTCTGGTATGCACTGCTTTCTGCCAAGATCCATCAAACATTAGCTGTAATATCCCTAGTACCATGACCTCTTCTAAATCCAGCCTGCACATCTGGCAGTTCTCTGTTGATACATTGTTACAAACGTTTTTGGATAATTTTCAGCAGAATCTTGCTTGCATGTGATATTAATGATATTGTTCGATAATTTCTGCACTCTTGGGTCACCTTTCTTTGGAATGGGAGCAAATATCGATCTTTTCCAGTCAGCCAGCCAGCTGGCTGTCCTCCAGTTTTCTTGGCACAACTTAGTGAGCACATCCAGTGCAGTGTCTGTTTGTTGAAATTATGTCTGTTGGTATGCCGTCATCTCTTGGAGCCTTGTTTTTTGCCAGTTCCTTCAGAGCAATTTGAACTTCCTCCTTCATTACCATAGGCTTTTGCTCATATATTATTTCATGGAATTCTTCTGTGTCAGCCAATTCCTTCTGATACAGTGATTCTGTGTACTCCTTCTATTTTCTCTTACTACTTCCTGGATCATTTAACATTCTACCCAAAGTGTCCTTAAGTATTGCCACCCGTGGCTTGAATTTGTTTTTCAGCTCCTTCAGCTTAAGAAACACCGAGCGAATCCTGCCTTTTTATTTTCTGACTCCAGCTGTCTGCACATTTCATTATATAGTATCTTGCTTTGTCGTCCCGGGCTGCCTTTTGAAATTTTCTGTTCAGCTCTTTGATTTCTTGGTTTCTTCCTATTAACTTCGCACTTTTACTCTAGGAGTATCGGCATGAAATGTCCACTTTTTACTAAAGGTGATTAACATTTATTTCCATGTTTTTTACTATAGCAGAATAAAAATAAAAATAAGTAGAAGTATAAAGAAAAAATTTACCATTTTACCATTTAATGAGGCTGTTTTTGTTAGGTGGTGTTGAGTATGACTTATCGCGACCTTATTAACAACAGATCTGAACCCTGTCCTGTACTGTGCCATCCTTACTATCTCTAACGTGCTTGAGCCCATTGCTGAAGTCAGTGTGTCGGTCTTTCTGGTAGAGTGTCTTCCTGTCTTTCGTCGACCCTCCACCTTTCCAAGAATAATATCTTATGGGAATTTTATCTGTGGCTATAAAAAAAAAAACCCCACATTTTAGTTTTTTGTCACCAACATATAAATAATGAAAAATCACTAGGAAATGTTTCAATATTGTTATTTCATAATTTTCAGGCTGCTATCCTTGTCCAGGGCCAAACATGAATCCGATTGCTCTTGGAAGTCGCTGGCTTGCTTATGCAGAGAACAAGGTAAGTCATGAACATATTTGGGTTGTAGGTCATGGAACAAATATTCTAGGATTTTGTAATAGACACCTACACTACATAGGTGATTACTGACAAAAAAAAGAAAGAAAATGAATGTTTAACTTATTGGTAATTTTCTTTTTTCATGTCTCTTTTCAGTAGTATTTAGGTTTTGTTAGGAATTTACAGACATTTAATTGTTGTCTTTGAATCCACCTGTAGACAGGATTAATTTTCTAGATTTTTGTGAAGAAATGCACTCTTTTAATCTCAAAGGACATCATTGAAGTCACATCAGTGGCATCAGTGCACTAGTTTTAAAAAATTAACGAGTTCTGTGAACGGGTGGTTCAGTGGTAGAATTCTCGCCTGCCACGCGGGAGGCCCGGGTTCGATTCGCGGCCCATGCAGCCCAGATGGAGTGATACCCCAATAAAAATTTAAAAAAAAAAAAAAAAAAAAAAAATTAACGAGTTCTGTGAGACAGAAATTTGAATGTAGAAATGACCTTTCTTTCAGTACATTGGTGGCCTGAAGCATAGAATAATTAATTTGGCTTTATGCTTCCATACAATGGGATCTGATTAAGAATCCATTTATTTTATTATTGCAATTGCTGCATAGTAGAATGAAAATATTATATTTATGTCATGACAGTTTAATTTGTGTCCACTTAGGGAAAAGTTTTGAAATTTTACTAAGGAAATTTAATCCTTTTTTATGGTCAGTGTTTACCTTTTATGTAAATATAGAATGGAATATAAGTTAAACAAAGGAGATTTCTCTTTTATTTGCTTATATAGTTATTTTGTTTTGAAATAATATGAAGAAGATTGAGATATGGTAAGTAAAGCTCTTAATTTGGTGAACGTGTCGAGCTGTTAAGTCTCTACATTTTGGAAAGCATGGAATCAAGAAACTGTTATAGGAAATTCTTTAATATTCTTGAAATATTTAATTTTGGCCAAAGGTTTATTATTATGCTCTCTCCTATTCTTTCTCATGATTTTCTGATGGAACTCATAAATCTTTCCCAATTACTCTTTTCAGAGTTTGTTGTGACTTTTTCAGTGTAATGACATAATGTTTTCTTCTAATGTTCACATCTGTAACACATTTTTGATGAGTGCTAAACTCAGAAGAAGATGTGCTGAGTCTTGACTTTTGTAAATGTATTCTCACACACAGGAAGCTGGCCATTTACAATGAGTAGTATTATGCAATTAGCTTTCTGTTAGTTTCAAGGGCAATGAACTCTATACATGCACAACATGGATGTATGTCAGTTGTCTTGCTTTTGCAGAGATATACATCCATATCTTATATACTGAGACCAGAAAATAGAGAATTCATAAGGAACTTGCTAATCTGTTGGACTATCCTTAGAAGAAACAATTGCATAATATTTCCCTAAATGCTAGGATTTATTACCAGCTTCTAACTGTTAAAACTTTTAGGCTGGGTGTGAAATCACAAAATTGAACTGAACTTTTAGAGTGACATTTATTTTCTACTGAAGTAATTTGAAATGCTCTTTTACTTAGTACAAGAAGCCCCGTATCTTGGTGGTGGTGGTTGTAAAGTACAATTCATAGTGCTGCTGTGAAGAACAGATGTGAATCCTGCCCCATATAGAGCCATCCTTAAATCTCTGACGCACTCATTGCTACAATCAGTGTCATTCCACCTGTATGAGAGTCTTCCTCTACCTTTAGGCTAATATTTCTTTTTTTTTAGGCTAATATTTCTGAGTTATTTTATATAGAAATGCCAGATCAGGTTCAGCTGATCTGAAAATGTATGAATGTTATTTTTTTAAGTAATTTTTTGCTTTATTTTAGTTGTTTGAAGTCATTAACTAAATTGTCTTTCCTTGTACATGCAGCAGGAGGCACCAGAGGGATAAATTTCACAATCTTTAAATGTTTATTTGTGAATGAATATGTGTGTGAGATAGAGATTATTTTTTATTAGACAGAATAACTTTTCAAACCCCTGACTTTTCCCTATGTAAAAGTATTTACTGATTACTTGTCTGTTGGAAAATTTCTCACCAATCACTCATAAAATCTATCTAAATAACTCTTCAATGAGGCATAAATGAAGTTGCCTTATCAACTGCTTAGCATCTAATATAATCTTAAAAGGTTTTCCATTCTATTACATAATACTTTTCCCCCTCAACAATATAATTGATTAAGAAAATTTTAAAATTAAGACTAATAGAATTATATAACAGTCTTTATTAAAGGTCATTGTTTTAAATTACATTAAAAATTCTGATTTTGGAAAAAATACAGATTCTTTTGTGAATCTGAAAGCTTTGAACGTTTAATTTACAATGTAAGTGCTTTTCTGCTACTGCCATTTCTTTTCAGAGAAATATTTTTAATGAACTTTTAACCATATATTTATCAATAAACACTTTCTCTTTTCTTCCTCGTTATAAGAAGTATAGGAGTAATAGATAATTTAGTCACCTTCTGAGAAAATCATATCAAACAAGTGATTCACTAAAAGTTGCAGGAGAATATATTTTGTGTCAATCACAAAATAAAGCCATAACGTTTTCTTTCCTAATTCTAAAGGCAGTATGTTCTCTGATGTGGACAGCTACTACATGTGTTATTGTCTGTTTTTTGCATAAATTGTGCTGCTTTTCTGCTGATAATTGAAAATGAATATATGGTGAATTCTTTTGTCAATTTGCCTTCCATTTGTTTCCTTTTATAGTCTTTATAGTGCATTTGAGAGGACAAAACATCCTATTTGCTACAATGTCAAATATTTAATGTTGAGATGTCAAGTTTAAGTCCTTTGATTATGTTTTTTAAGACTTATTTGTAGAAAGGCTGCCAACACTAAATCCTACCATTTCAGAGTTTATGAATTCTTAAAGACTATTCATCTTGTAATTAAAAACTGTAGTTGAGCATGAAACTGCATGAGTGGCACCAGTGGATTATAAAAAGGGGTAAAAGTGTCTCAGCAGAGCTTTTAGCTATTTGTCTGAAATACACTCATGCAAACATTCCCACCCACCACCATCATTATGCCCAGTAAATAAGCTCAATCCTAATAGCTTGTTGAGTTAAACAGTTTAAAGAAATGACTTTCTGGTTCGTTCTTTCTCTCTTTTCCAGTTGATTCGATGCCATCAGTCCCGTGGTGGAGCCTGCGGAGACAACATTCAGTCTTACACTGCCACAGTCATTAGTGCTGCTAAAGTGAGTACCTCACTAGTCTCTAAGTGAAATGATTATGTGATTATCCGATTTCCGTCATGAATTATATTGTTATTACCCCTTCCCTTGCCAGTGTGAAATAAACTTTCATAATTCAGTCAGTCTTGTCACTCAAGAGTATTGTTTAGAAGATGGTTTGATATTTAGTGCCTTAGGATTCATAAATAATATTTTATTTTCTGTTGAGATGATTATATATTGTATGTACTTTTTTGACTTTAATTATTTCTATATATTTAAAGCTGCTACCTAATTGAAGTCTCTCAACAAAATAGATTGATATTGTAGTTGCACCAATGGGCTAAAACACAGCAATTCTTATTTTGAGCATATTTTGAAACCTGCCAGTGTTTTGTTCTGTTATGCATGCAATCCTCAACTCTGTGGCACCTAACGTCATTTAATTATTCTAACTTTTGAAAGATACTTGAACATGTTTTAAAAGTGATTTCTAGATTCTACATGATTTGCACCATTTCTACCTACTTTGATATCTCTCTTCACTTTGAACATTCTTAATCTTGACATAAGAAGAATATCATTCCTTAGGAAAACTTAAACAAAGCCCTGGCACTTTCAAAGATTCTTTCATATCAAGGGGTTTCCGCCTCCTTGCATTTGTGTCGAGTGAGTTCTTTTCTTGTGTGGGGTTTAATTTTGATGTTGGCTGGTAAACTTCATGCTGATTATAAGTTATTCTTATAACCACTATCCTTTTGAATTGCGAAGTATACAACAAAACAGTTCTAATAATAGAGATGACAGAGTGAATCTAAATGACAGCGTGTAATAGAAAGCACAACTATACAGAAAAGAACAACAGTTTAAAGAAAACCACAGGGAGGGAATCAGAGGTCACAATATTTTATGTAAAACAAGTACAGAAATACTTCAAGATTGGTCACAAATGCTTACATGATGTGCTTTAGAATGTGTTCTTTGTTTTGATGGGAGAAAAATGACATATTTTTCACTATATATTTTTAATATTTCTAGACATTTTTCACAAAGACCTTCTTTTTCCATTATATATACATGAAAGTTATGGTTCCTTCAAAGGAAAAAAATGTAAAACAGAATAGCTAGTAAATAATTTTCAGTGTTGTTTAGTATGTTTGTAGGTTTCGTAGTCCGTAGGGAGTTGTGCTGCCAACCCTGAAGGTGATGCCTCTCTGGTGGTTTGACTCTAGCAGTTCCTCTGTGGGCAAAAGATGGACAGTCTCCTCCCATGAGATTTCCAGTTCTGAAAACCTGTACTGGAAAGTCAGCAGTAAGTGGGTTCTGATTTGATGGAACCGACTGAGTCATTACTGAGAGTTATAAAATATAGAAGAAGTTCTTATTTTAGAATAACCAGCCTTGATGAGACTTGCTCATTGTAATATCATTTTGAGTTATTGTCAGTTAAAGAATGAATTGCACTTTCCTACAGCTTACCCTCAATTTATGGAGCTCTCATGGCTTAGTGGTAAGGAGTTGTGCTGGCAACCTAAAGGCACACACTTCAAATCTTTCACAGTCTCCTTCTGTGAAATTAACTACCTCTGAAAACCTACTGGAAGTTCAGCTGTAAGTTTGTTTCCACTTGAAGTAAACAACAACGAAAACAACAACTACTACTCCTCTGTATTGTGAACTGTGACACATGCCTGGATTTCTTCCATATTTACATTCTAAAAGAGGAGATTAATGACAATACTTTAGTCACTTGACATAGGCCCAGCAGGTTGATTGTAATTCAGGGTTAGCCCTAGTGATATGTAGAAGTTTTCCACTAGCACCTGAATGTACTAGTGGAAGTGTGTGGGATTCTTACTTTTGTTTAATTATTCTTACCAGATTACACTGTTATTCATGTTCATGGTTATGAATTGAGAAGATAGTCTGAAAGACACACCTTTTGTATGTGCATGTATGAGAACTAGAATTTGAGAGGACTGCCTTGTTTTTCTGACTCTTTAGATCTATCTGATTATAAATTTCTGGCTTTATGGACAGAGAATGAATATTTTGAAAGTTGCAGTATTGCCAAAAGAAAAAAAATCCTATCACAAATAAAGTAATCTTTCATTTGGCTCCCAAGAATTGGGTATTTTTTTACTAAAAAAAGATTGGAAGTTTGAGATAACACCCCATTCTTTAAGTGGTTAAGTTTCTTCTAGTGAGGTATATTAGATACTATATTCTTAGGTTTATGTGAGCCTCCTAAAACATGCAGCCATATATATAATAACTGACTTCTCTAATCCTTAGTATATTCTCTTTTTGTTACTATACCATTTTGATTATATATTATACAGCTTTTTAGTCATCTGTCTCATACATTTTTCCTTAAAAAAGTGTCAATCTATTTTTCTTTAAAAAGGTAAGCATTTACTTCTTAAATATGTGTTCCCAGGATATTGCCAGTCTATCTCCTGCAGAACTGCTGGTGAGTTCGACTCACCAGAGAAGTACAGCCTTTGGCTTGGTAGAATAACTCCTTGTGGACTATGCCACTAGAACTCCTTACAGTAGGCCTATTAAGGTGACCAAAACATCAGGGAAGCACTCCTTAGAATAACCAGCCAGAAAGTCAACACCAGTCAAGTTGGAACTGTCTCATCACTTACTCTCCAGCAAGTTTCCAAAGCTGTAAATTGAACAGGAGGAAATTGCTCATCTCTCTCCTTTAGAGCCCCTGATGGAGTGTAACTGCCAGAGAGACATAGATTTTGAGTTAGAAACGCAACTCCTCGCTAGAGATCCCTAGAGGAACCAGCCAGCCATTTTTAAGGTCAGAACGGCAGTATTTGCCCAAGGATAAAGATCAGATTGGCAGAAAGGGGTAGGATATTAAAATGAGCAGAAACTAGAATCACAGGGTGGAAGGGGAAAGAGTGCAGTTACAGTGTATCGTCATTAATGTTATAAAAAGTTTGAAAGATTGGATGGAAACTGATATGCTGTGTACACTTAACATTTAAATAATCATAAAGTGTGTGTGTGTGTATATATATTCCCAGAGAGAACTCATTATATTCCTGTTATATTGGCAAGCGTGGACATTCATTTATGCTATCAACACTCCCTGGTACCAGTAGCCAGGAAATCAAAAGGTGAATTGTATTCAGAAGGTCTGCTGTCAGGTACTGAGGTGCAACGATATTGTCTAGGAACTAAGGTGTACCTGATCCAAGCCATGGTCTTCACAACTACTTGCTATGCATCAGAGAGCTGGACAGTGACTAAGGATGATAGAAGAAGAATTGATGCCTTTGAGTTGTGATGCTGGAGAAGAATATTGAACATACCGTAGACTGCCAAGAGAACAAACAGATCTGTTTGGGAGAAACCGAAACCAGCTTGCTCCTTGGAGTTGAGGATTTTGAAGCTTCATCTCACATACTTTGGGCACGTGGCCAGGAGGGACCAGTCCTTGGAGAAGGACAACATACTTGGAAAGGTGGAGGGACAGTGCAGGAGAGGAAGACCCCAAATGAGATGGATTGACACAGTTGCTGGGACGGTGTAGGTAGGAGTGTCAGAGATAGTGAGATTGGCTTAGGATAGAGCAGCGTTCAGAGCATTTGTACATAGGGTCACTGTGATCCACAACACATAATAATAACAACATGCACTTATAATTCATGTACTTTCCTAAATTTAGTACTAGTGATTTTTAGTGATTATGCCTACTTTGCTTAAGGATACTACATCACTTTGATACCCAAACTTGACAAGCATTATGAGAAAGAAAAGCTGAAATCCTTATTCATGAACATATATTTTAAAAAGCCCCTTTCTGCAGTCAGTTTCAACTTGCAGTGACTGTGTTGGACAGATTAGTATATCATTTGTTTTTAAGGCTGTAAAACTTTACGGAAGTCGATGTTGTGGAGAGGCTCCTGCCTTACTCATGAGTATGGAGGTGAAAAATTCTAAACAATATGAAAAAAAGAAAAGAAAAAAGAAAGACAGTATATATAATAGTGGAGTTCTAGTGGTTTAGTGGTAAGAAGCTGCACTGCAGTCCTGAAGACGTGGTTCAAGTCCACCAGCTGCTCTGTGGGAGAAGGATGGGCTGTCTCCTCCTGTGTGATTAACTGCCTCTGAAAACCCACGGGAGGGTCACCTGTCTGACTTGACAGTACACAACAACAAACATATATAGTAGATGGAATACTTCTACACTGTAAATTTAGTTTGTCACTCAGAATCATTGAGTGTAATTTGCTACATCAGCGGAGTAAAGGAGAAAAATGATATGACATTCTCTATTGTTAAACCCAAAGTAGTTGATAAAATTCAGTTTGCATTCATTGGTAAAATCTTTAGTAAATAATGATAGTTTCTAATGCTCTGTAATTCCGTTTTCTCTTTTAGTTGGGTTAAATATGACTGCTTTTTGGTTAGCAGCTGCTCACTTAACCATTACTCTACCAGAGCTCCTTACTTGGGATAGTTTCCTTTATCTTATACCAGTCTTCAATGGCAGTTGTAGCCTGGGATTATCCCAATATAGTTTCAAAAATTAAGATTATTTAAATGAAGCAGACCTGTAATTAGTGTAAAGTCTTATTTACGGCATTTTATTCTTTCAGTGTAGCCTTTTCTGTCCAAACGCAAAGCATGAAGGCCAGCTTTTGATGGCTCTTTTAACAATAGTACCTAATTTCCTGGAACCCTCAAAACTGCCATAGTACCGCTTAAAATTGGCAGATTCTTTCAAGATCGGCATGTGCCTTGAGGCCTAAATGCCCAGCTAACCTGTCAGGATTACCTTGTTCTCTTGGATTTTGACCTAGTCACTCTGCTATTTTGTTATGTATTCAGAGATAAAAGCATCTCAAGCACAGCTAAAGCTAGCAGAAACCAAATAGCAGCAACAACAGTATTCTCTCAAGTTTTCCTAATTGTATCTAATCTACCTCTAGTAGAAAATGAAATTCCTTTTTATTTTATTTCAGTAATTCTTCCACATTTAAATAGTTTTTGAGACC